TAAACGGCATTTATAACTCATCTAAGGAGTGCAAATCGCAAAATTTTTAGATTTTCGCTTTTAACGACCTTCTGCCAATCGAGAAATTTTGAAGAAAGATTCAGTTTGATTTTCTGGCCATTTAGAGTCAGAGGAACCGAAATTATTGTACTTTATGTTCCGAGTGTCTCAAGAGCTGCATTTGCTGGTGTGAGTATTATTTAAGTTGCTTGAAGCAAAAACCGGATGCTGCAAGATAGTTTGCTATGAACCGTAAAAAATTTAGCAAAAAAAATCTTTTTTTCTACTCAGCTGAAGCAATACTGAAGAAATACTGGAATTTCAATGTTTCCATGAAAAATGGCACATCCGTGTCGCGAACCTCCGCGATTATGATCCTATGCGAAGAGAGATCCAAGAAATAATTTGTGAAAGGTGGCAATCTTATATTTCACAGATAGAGGGCGTAAGTTTGAAATTTGGGAGCAACCAAGCAGCACGGCTATTTTTGCAACTTCTAATCCTATGTTTGCAAGCTTGCCACTAAGTGATTCAAGAATTAAAGAAATTCTTGTTTAGAACCTGTCATACTTAATTCACTTGATCCGCTTGATCGCTTCATCCACTATTGGTTAGCATTTGGCTATTTACTTCACTATTGGTTAAATCAGCGAACTGACCAATAGCGAAGTAATTGAGCATCAAGTGGATTTCCGCTTCACTATTGGCCAGTTCGCTAATTTGACCACTAATGAAATGGATGAAGTGGATAAAGTGGACCAAGTGGATCAAGTATGGCGGGGGTGCCTAGAGTCAATGCAGATCAGGAACTGTCTATCATTTCAAGTTCTTGTAAAATAGTCCTTACTTGTCATCCTCTTCTTTCCCATTCAAAACGTGCACATCGCTCACTTTTCGGCTTATGTACGAAGTGATGGAAGCTATTAAGCGATTATAATACAACTAGCGGTTCCATCAAAAACGAAAAACGTCTGTCACGATGAAAAAACTCTTTCGACAAGCTTCATGACATAAAAAATGACAGCTACACATATTTATCGTGCTACGTAATGGTCAAAAAGCAATCGGATTTACGAAAATGTCACGTCCGCTCCAAAATTCAGTGGAGGGCTTATTGTAGCAGTAAAAAAGCAAAAGGGGAAGCCCTACTTTCATTGTTTTGATAAGATTTGTATTACTGGGCTTTTAAAGAATAGAAATACCTGAGAAAAAAGAGATTAAAAAATAAATAATGTTGCTGGTGAAGTCCGCTGACAAAATCTCAAATCAGAAGAGACCGTACAAAAACCTGTAAAAACTTCAACTTCAAAAACCTGCACGGCAAAGAAGATTAACTGAAGTTAGACCATACAAATTTTCTAAAATGCATGTTATAACGACCGAAATTAATAATTAGTTTCTTCCTGCATATCATAGAGCATAAACAAATTTTATTTAGTTACAGTATGCTAGTGATTTTTATGTTCATTACCGAAACTAAGTCGAGGTCCATTGATATGGATGAAAAGTTTTGAGGACGTTGATCAGTGGCGCGCCTTAAAATCAAATTTTGTCTGTAGTTAGAATGCTATAATATCCTTGAATCCTTGATCCTTGATCCTTGAATCTACTTATTTTTTGAAAATATTTTTTTCAATCCTTTTTATAGTAAGAAGGATTGGAGCGGATTTTTTGTTAACAAATGCTCGACTACACATGTTTCCCTACTCCTATTCTACTTTTGACTAACGCCAAATTTCTATGGTCATCTAATACAAAAACTTGATAACAATTATCTATATACATGTTCTATAAACAATTTTGCGCGTTTCAGAATTTTTATGCCATGGTTATGAGACAAATTTTGGTCCCCCGAAATAAAATTGTCTGGCTTGTGACAGCCAGTAGTTCTTTGCAATTAGTTGACATGCATAAGTTTTTGATGAAGACCAGAATTAAGGCTTATCTTATCGGAAATGTTTGAGTTTCAAAACTGCATAAAACCATCTACACGTGACAATTCTTTACTGATAAGATTTTGTACCCTCGAAGAAACTTACAAAATGTAGCGTTACAGCACAAAGAATGAGTTCGGTGGCAAATAGTCGCTGAAAAAACATAATAATCCTTGGAGCCATTTCCAGAAAGAAAGTAAAAGCGCATGAAGAATTGAAAGCATACTTCAATATCCAATTTTTTGTAGCTAGCAAATGGTATTACAGTTATTTTCGTTGTGGCTATGCGAATGTCAGTTCTGATAGACCATTTGCTGGAAGAATATTGTGATTTTTTCAAGATACCTTTTCAAGAATTTCCATTTGCAGTCACTGTCCCTCGTTTTTTCAACGGTCCACACTCCAAGCCAGTGTCTTTATTTTCTGCTATAACCATAACGATTGCTCAGATATTTTTTTTTGCAGTTCCCATGTTCCCATGTGGAAATAAGCGTGTTGAAGGATCAATAGAGCGCTCATATGAAGTGTTATGTTTTTACTCTTTTTACTTTTACTATTGGACAAATGAATCTAACTGAACAATGTGTTATGTTATGTTGTGTTCAGTTAGATTCATTTGTCCAATAGTAAAAGTAAAAAGAGTAAAAACATAACACTTCATATGAGCGCTCTATTGATCCTTCAACACGCTTATTTCCACCATTTTACCGCCAGTCATCATCCCCTCACAAAAATTAACCAATCAATCAATCAATCCTTCAATCATTCAGTCATTCATTTATTCATTTATTCACTCATTCGCTTGTTCATTCATTCTTACACCCATCATCCATCTACTGATTCATTCAGTAATTCAATCATTCACCAATTCATTCATTCATCCATTCATTCAATCAGTCATTCAGTCCTTCCTTCACATTCAATTAATTTCCGTACTCATACCATAACATACCTTACGATACCATAGACCATATCTACATCACACCATACTACACCCACCACCATACTATAACATAGTACCACGTTATACTATACTATACCACACCATATCATACAAAACCAAAGCGTACCATACCATAGCTCTTATAGATTTACCTGCCTATCAACACTTCTACAATATGAGCCACTCAAATGCGATCCTTGCTCAAACATATTTAGATTTTCATACATATTGTCAACTTCCTTTCTTTTCACTTAATCCTCGTATTGGCTGTTCTCCTTTTCCTTGCTGCTTCTGACATCAGTCGTGCCTTGCAATTGAAAATACACGACGATCCTGCTGTTCCACAGCATCCGACCAAGAAGGTTTTTCATTGTCCGGCTACCGTGATGAGAGCGGTCAAAATGACCGACCATTTTTGGGCAGAGCAGATAACGAAACTGCCATACCATACTATGCATCTTATGCTAATCCATATCATACTATGTATACCATGCATCCCATTCATTCGACCTTTACCTTTTGGATCAGTTGGCTTTTTGAGCTTATTATTCAAACTTCTATCACTCCAAAACTTCTCATTTTTCGAACCTAAAGAAGTTGACATTTTCGGGACTCCCGCTGCCCAACAATTTGCAACGTCCTCGAAATTTTAAATTCGAAGAAATGAGATCTTCCCCATTTAATTCTCATTATAGCATTCTCATACTGACAAAGGAAAGATCCCAATTTGAAGTGCCGATAAAATGAGCCGCATATTATTAACTGCTCCTTTGATGGCCTGATTCCAATTCTACTCTCCAACCTGCGATGCTGTTCTTTGAAAAAAGTTATAAGCGATTAAGAGTGTGAAGTCAATGCCGTTCAATACATAAGCTTTGAGGCCAACTTGAGGGTGCATGACTTATGATACCGTGTGTACTGATCTCAAGAGGTGCTACATTTACTGGAAACGCAAAATAGTGGTTTACATTATACCCTAACCTATATAGGGGTAGAGGCGAAACAGGCTGTATGGTACTCAAACACTGTGTATACTCCTGAACTACTGATTCTTGAAAGGGAGGGGGGCGGAGGCGCTCAGTGTTTCCCAAATTTGAGCATTTGGACACTCATATTATTTTCTAAAAAACAGCATCGCAGATGAGGAAAGCAAATTTGGAATCAGCTCATTAAGACGCATCTAATAATGATATGCTCTTCACTCTCGTTCGCCACCCTAATCTGGTATCGCTCCTTCATAAGATTCAAAGCAACCATCACTCACGTGAACGCAATGATCTCATCAAGTGAGGAAAGCGGAAGCTCTCGGTTTTTCTTTCGTGACGTTAGCTGTCAGAAGGCCACGCTTCTCGTAACAAGAGCTTTGCGCTTTTATGACTTCATCAGGCGCTTTTTTGCAGCCTGGCCAAGCGCAATATCGCTGGACGGATGTTTCGAAGCGATATCGTCAGACGCTTAGCATCAAATCGCTATCTGGCGACCATAAGGAGCCTCTGACGTAGCGTCTCCGTGTACTGCGAATTTGACGTAGATCTCGGAATGAAACTGCTTTCGGAGGTCCCGAAGATCATTGCTAAAAGTCATAAGTGAGCATATTTGCCTTTGATGACTTTACTGTCCCAAAATTACCCAAAAAACTTGAGCGCTCTGACGAAAGCAAGCAGTTCCCTTTCCCATGCTTCCATCATGAGAGTAATAGCGACTACCGGCAATTCGGCTGCCAAATTATCTCAGATTACGTAAGCAGATTTTCTGCAAAGACGAATGTCTTTTAAATGTTCCCAACACGTGTTCCGGCGAATGGAATTAATGGAAAAAGTGTAGCTCATTGTGAAATGGAAATTTCTCCCGAAGATGAAAATCTTGAAATAAGGCCAAAGATTCTTTTTGAAATATGCATGCATTAATTTGGGCACAGCCGATGCAGTTAGAATTAGCTCAAATATGTTTAGAAAGAAGTTTGAAAGATTAGTATATTACAGTAGTGAAATTAGTATTTTCTCAATTTTTTCACATTTTTCTAAAATTTAGCTGGAATATTGCTAAAAATCTGTCGCTTTGCATAGCACAGCGGTCAAACTTCTCGAGTAAAGATCCATGTGCTTTCGCTTAGGAAACCCTACGTTGAATTCCAAAGTTCTTGAGCAAAGATCTTCACGTTTCTTGAGAATCCATAGAGTTGATCGTTTCATGGACTTCTTTGTCCCTGCTTCTCGTTGGTGTTGTTTACCTCAAATGACTTTATCATAAAAAGAACAAAAACTCTCGTCTAATCTTACATGCATGACATTGTATGACAGATCTTTGATTGGACAATATCTATCAGTTTGTGTACGGTTTTTTTTTCACATTAAAGAATCAGAGATAGTAATTATGACTGTTTATTCCCTTCTTAAAAACACACTACCTTTCAGACTAAACATAATATAACGCATGTGAGGAAAGTGGTTATGAAGAGAGTAAATTGATGAAGCATTACGATTCAAAGTCTTGAAAAACAGAAACGTGCCAGAGCCTTTTTTTAAAATTTGAAAGAGAAGGGTATGAAAGGAAAATATGTATATAAAATGGAAGAATTGGAATTGGCATTAGAACCCAACAGTAAATTTCTCCAACATCTCCAATTAAAAAGTGGTAATTACTGTGAAAATTCTAGCATCAAAAGCTTTTCTTGCGCCCTACCGGGACTTTTTCAATGAATTCAAATGTTCTGCACCCCTAATTCTGAACTTTAGGCTTTCCCATTTTGAAAATTGCATGAGACAACAAAATTGAAAGATTAAAGAAAAGTTGACTTTCATCAAGGTATAAGCCTTAAGAGATGTGGTCCCCCAGATTTTCAATTTGAGTTAGGGTACAAACCATCTGGATAGTCTCGATCGAGTACAGTTGATTCAGTGAGATGGTTCAATGTTCTACACTTCAAATATAATATCGATCTTACTCACATCATATCATTCATCTAGAAATTTTTACCCTAACTCGTAGATTGTTTTCGAAAATCGGCCATTTTTGGAAGATCCCTTTCCTACTGCATATTGCATTTCATTTAAGGTATTGTTATAATGTGTTTGTCATATGCGATATATTTATACCAAAATTTCAAAACATTTATCGTAGCGAACGACTAAACTGGAGATGCAGACTAGAATAAGAGTGTTTGAATTTCTTTGCAGTGTTTTCTCTTCTTAATTCGAGTGACTACTTTGCAGGCCACTAGTAATGGCAACATAAAATTTCCATATCTTCAGAATTTTTTATGATTTTTTATGGTCATGGGCCAATCCCTATTTCGGCAAACTGAATCGCTGCACAAACACACCTGGACTTCACGAGCTCTTAGCATGAATCATTGCTGGTACAACTGCTATCGTTGACTCATTTTGTCGTATGCTCAGCATAGCTTACAGCATTTCTTCATGATCGGCGTATTTGCTCATCACTCCAGAGATTTGAAAAAAAAATGAGCCTAGCCATGTATAAGAAGAATTTCTCGACATCGTTACATTCTTAATTTTTGTACGAACGTTGATTTTCGTACTTCCGCGACTCAGGCTGCATAGCTTGGATCCGATGTAAAGATCTTCTGTCTATGCCTATCATTCCCCTTTCCTCCTTCCTCCTTCCCAACCCCCTCCCCCCCCCCCCCCCCCCAACCCTTCCTGTTTTTCCCCTACTTACAACAGATCCCTCCAATCGCCCTTTTGATGCAATTTTTTTTCCAATTGATGATAATTTCGACACGTGAAAGAACTGTATCGTTACGTACATGATATCTTATGATGTTCCCACTAACTATAAGGACAACATTTGCAAAAAATGTAATAAACACTGCCAACATCAAAGTACCAAACTCCGATCAAGTGACAATATGAGTGTAAAAAGTTGAATGCAGGCCAATTTTGATAGTTTGTACTGTTGTTATGATGCACACAGACGAGAACAAAGTGAGTTTGGGTGAAGTTCCGAAGGTGTTGTGTGACTAATATGTCATCGACATTCCATTGAAAATCAAGCAGTCTCGAGATGATCCTTTGCTTTTGAAGAAGGAGCATATATAGGTACCAAAAGAAGGTTACCATTCTGAATTGCGAAAAAGATAAAGATAAAATTATACGCAGAATTGTACGAATTGTACTCACAAAATTAATGAGTGATTTTTCCTAAAAAGACGTTCAGTGATGAACGGCACATGAATCAGGGAGGAATGCGGGTGGAAATATGTTTGGCGTTTTCTCAGCAATTTTTCTAAGCATTCTTTCTTTTTACAGTTTTCTTATATGAGCTCTCCTTTATTATCCAAACATTTGCGAAAGAGTTGTTGTAACGGGTTTAAACGTAGTTCTAGAATGAATGGAAATTGTCTTCACTAGTTTTGATGGTTCATTTCTATCAATATTTTTGGAGGGAAAAAAGGACCTTTTTTGAACACTCGCTGCCAAAACGATTATTGATATAAATGACATTGGAGAAAGATGTCCAGATCGGTTTTTTATAAACCTTTCAATAATGTTCATTGAAACTTGAGGTTTGAATCGCGCTTGTTTTCCTACTTTTACATCGATATTGTCGAGCAAATTTTTTCAGAATTTTTCATAAAACTTATATTCAATGCTAACACTTCCCTAAAAGTATCATCAGTCCCCCAATTTCGAATCGCTCCATTCCCCAAAATGCTGATAAGCTGACGCCACGTGGACCAAATGACAAATGCCCAAATGTTTGCCTGGTTTTTTAGCCCTTATGACTTTTTGTTTTTATACCGGAAGCATCACATGGAGGAGAAGCTCGTTATCTCAAAGATAGTGACCCGATACTGTCTTGCGAGCGTCATATGAAGCTCACATTGACCAGGGAGCAGCTCGATTTGTAGTTTGAGATGATATGAGGGAGATGGAATTTCACGTGAAACGGAGATTCTTGGATGCCTCGCACATTATAATTGCAAAAATTAAAACAGCAAGTCAATGACCTGAAATTTCGAGCATTTGCTCTTTACCCTATAATCATCTTTGTTTGTAAAGACTTGTTCGATATTATCAAGAAAATTAAGAAATACAAGATAAATGTAAAATGTAAAAAAAGTAAATATATCAGGTTGTCCCGAAAGTTTTGTCCGTTTTTTCAATCTTATATATAAAGCTGAATGTCTGTTTGTATGTATGTATGTCTGTCTGTACGTATGTTCCGAATAGAAAATTCCATTTCTGAACCGATCCGGACCAAACTTGGCACACATACACTTCGGGCCCCGGCGGGTGTCATAGGCTACTTTTCGTCATCGATCGATATCGATTTTATCGATTTTTATCGATTTTTTTGCCGAGTTTACCTACGGGGCTGGGAGTTGGCACAAGGGGGTAATCGAGCATGCTGATCATCCCCAAGGGGGGTGATCAGCATGCTCGATTACACCCCTGTGCCAAATTCCAGCCCCCTAGCTCAAATTTTCAAAAAATCGATAAAATCGATAAAAGTAATGGACGATCTTGAAAACTAATATTGTATTCGTAATCTGGATGCTCGATTACCCCCCCCCCCCTGCGCAAACTCCCAGCCCCGCAGGTCAAACTTTACAAAAACAATCGATAAAATCGATAAAAGTAATGGACGATCCTGAAAACTAATATTGTGTTCGTAATCAGCATGCTCGATTACCCCCCTGTGCAAAATCCCAGCCTCGCATGTCAAAATTTACAAAAAATCGATAAAATCAATAAAAGTAATCGATAATTCTGAAAACTAATATTGTATTCGGAATCCCCATGCTCACTTCCCCCCCCCCTGTGCCAACTCCTAGCCCTGTAGGTGAACTCTGCAAAAAAATCGATAAAAATCGGTAAAATCGACATCGATCGATAACGAAAAGTGGACTGTGACACTCGCCGGGGCCCGAAGTGTATGTGTGCCAAGTTTGGTCCGGATACGGCGGAGCCGGGTAAGCCAGCTAGTCTATCATAAAAACACGTGGAACGAAAATAGAGAAACGCTCTAAGCACTACCCGCCCCATCTTTTCCTCCTCTTTCTAACTGTCATCATCCCATGCCGATTACTCTTTTGCTCACTGAGATAAACGCCCAAATTTCGAACCCATGGTTTTACTATGTCCAAGTTTGGCAATTTTTCACAATCTTTATTTTTGACTTTCGGAAAAGCTCTAATAGCAGTTAGATAGAGCAACCAAGGGGCAATATAATGCAATTTTGCGGCATCAATAGCTAGCCTTGAAAATTTTTTAAAATTATTTTTCTGATGCTATCAAATTCCACTTTTGGTGATGCCAAAAACCAGATATCATGAAGCGGCGCACAGCTAAGGTGTTTCGATGCAGCTTTTCCTTCTCTTTCCAGTGAGTGTATTTCCCCTCCATTGTGGGGTCTTTAGCGATAAAATTTCCATAATTTTTGGATTTGACCCCGCCCCCGCGTATACCGTAAAATGCGAAATCTTATATTTCGAAGCGGTAAACGCTCAGTTGCTTTGTAAAAATAGTGAATAATTGTAATCGATTTTTAAAAGCTTCAAAATCCGATAATTTGTTAGTGTTCGAGGCGTTTCTGTATTTTGGGACTTCGCAAAAGTGAAGACTTTTGGAAAAATCATCTTAAAAAATACTGAAATGCCAGCTGGACAAGCCAAAAAATAGCATTGCATTGCCCTTTGTTTACTCTATCTGAATGCTATCAAAAGTCTTCCAAAAGTCAAAAATAAAGATTGTGAAAAATTGCCAAACTTGGACATAGTAAGAACCATGGGTTCGAAATTTTGGCGTTTATGTCAGTGAGCAAAAGAGCAATCGGCGTGTGGGCATGACATTTAGAAAGAGGGGGAAAAGCTGCGTCGGATAGTACCTGAAGTGTTTCCCTATCTTCATTCCTCGTGTTTTTATGATAGGTTGAAAAAACGGACAAAACTTTCGGCAACCTAATATGTAAAATGTAAAAATCTCACGTTTTCTGGGACACTGCACCGCCATAAATCAGTTTTTAAAACACTGTATGAATTTCAAATAAAATGTAATTTTCATTCATTTTGAGCTCAACTATCGAAGCTTTCCATGGATAGTCACACCAGTTTTTTTTGAATTTTTTTCTCGCTGAATTTTTCGCCATGTACCTTACGCTAGATCACAGATTAAACTGTAAAGTCGAAAGTTCGAGAAGGACAGTTCAATGGCCGTTCAGATTTTTGCCAGTTTTTCAGAAACTTCCTGTTTTTCTGCAATTTCATGGTCGTTCATGGCAGTGTTAGCCCGTGTGATGTTATCATATGACTGAGTTGTATAGGTCAAAACAAATAACCCGTCGAAAACATATTGTTAAGTCGACAATATGCGCAAATTTGCTCACATTGCTTGACCTTGTGTGTCATCACACAAACAGGAGATAAGCATTTGTTTTTCAAGAAGTTTCTGGAAAATTTCGTTACCTGGATCGCTTGAATTTGTGGTCATTCGGAGAAAAGAATTAACCACTTGGTGAAGAAATTTGCTAATCCTTTCCATTTCCCTTTCCCTCCCTCCTTCCCCCCTCCCTCCCCTTCCCCTATCTCCCCCTCAAAATACCGCTCTTATTTTGCCTTCATTACACTATATGCACCAAAAAATCAACGATAAGCTCCCAATAAACAATAAAAATAATAAAATTAATAATATTATTGTAATGATTGAAAAATTAATAATATAACAAAATAATTGATAATCAAATTTCCATAGAAGTTTTTGAGTCCCTGCAATAATTTCGATTATTTCACCAAAAAATGAAAAGTCAGTCGCTGCGGTCAATGCTTAAATGCATCTTTTTATTGAACTGTCATTTTTATGAATTACCAAGCTAATAAGCTAAACCTTTTCAAGTGGACTTTCTATGTCTTAAGATTTTTTACCAAAATTCCAAAAATATCTTTTCCTACTTCCTCCATTTTTTGCAAACCCTCATATAATATTTGTCAACTGCATCCAGATTATTTCGACTCTGGTCTGGTGATGTTTGATATTTCAACTTACCCTAATAGCACCAAAACCAGTTTAATTCTGCAAGATAAACACATAAATCATGATTCACGATCATTCATAGGCAAATCTGCTGATTTTGAGTACAACAGAATGACCACGGTCAAAACATCAACTATCAGAAAATTACAAAACAAGCAAAAAACAAGCGAAGAACGTACAATAATAGCAAGAAGATTTACGATTAGAGCATGTTATTTTGTAATGATATAAATGTTGCTGAGTCGTGGAATCTACGGTATGCCAGACAGAAATGTTATGTAATCTATTAGAAAGCAGCAAGTGATATAACAGTGTAAGGTTAAATCTAAATAGATCAGATGTCATAAGCTCAATAACTTGTCTCAACTTAGCCTGTTGAAAAATATTTTTCCTGGAATTTTTTAAGCTCAATTTGGCTTCTTTGTTGATCCATTCGATACTGCAAGATATGTGTTCCAGGCAAATATGAGTTAGCAATGGCGGGGCAAAAGGAGTAGTCCCATGCTCCCATGCTAAGTCAGGAGATTTTTGACATGGATGAGTTGTAAAATTTAATCATAAGTGACATAAATAATGATTGCAACTAATTAGACTAATTTGAAAATTATTTCAAAAAACCGAATTAACTTTGTAAAAAAATTTTTGGCGCCTTACGTCCCAAAATTCTTAGGGCGTGACTAATCCGTTTTATTCAAAAGAAAATTTTCCCGCTCCCCTCAGACGAAATTTCTGGGTCCGCCACTTCTATTTGGGTTCATAGGGTTACTATTTGACGTGTCTTAAGAAGCCGTCCAAGCCGCTGATTGGTGTCTTCGACAACGAATACGGTCTGGGCGAGAGTTTGAAGTTGTATTTCTCGAACACAAATAAAGTATATAAGCTGCAGTTTGGCTATAGATTTGTTAGAACATTTTAGTCATTATATACGTAAAAGGGTAAGTAATCGACATAGAACTATTTAGAATGATTATTTCTGACATTGGGTTGATTCACACTCATAAAGCAGCTATTTTACTCCAAGAAAACAAGGTGCGACCTTCCAACTCCTTTCTCTCCCATCGTTTGACATCACTGAAATCTTGCGCTATCAAAGTGTGGACGAGTTCGCGATCGTCTTTGTCCGTCGGTCATCGACGACGCTGTAATGTTTCGTCGAGTTTTTTCCTTCATTCTCGGTGCATTGACACTGGACAGATACGGTCGGGATGCCGTTATTGTATGTGGCGCCACGTTTTACACAACTTCCTAACTGAGACAGTGGTTTTTTGACTTTTGTTCTCTATGTAGTTGATCTTAAGGCCTTACCAAAGTCGCAAAAATCAAAAGACGATGAATTGGGTTATTCTGAGCAAGTGATTTGGCCCTAAGTTCGATCGATCATAGCTGAAAAAACCAAGTAATTCAGGAAGAGCGACAGGAATCTAATTTGAAAGAAAAAAATAATAATCAGCTTATTCAATAAGATTCAAGTAGATTTGTTTGTTATCATAAATTTCCAAAAAAATAGCTTATTCCCAAAGACTTCATGATAAGACTTTTGGTCATATGATGTTGCTAGTTTGTTTACTTATAAATTGTGAAGCCGATTAAACTGGCTGTAAGGAATAGCCCCAGGGAACGGTTTCGTCAAGCCGAAACCGTTCCCTTGGGCTATTCCTGTGTAAAAGAAACGCTGTTTCTAGAAGGACTGAAGAAGAACGGGGAATGGAGAAGGAAAAGAAGATGGGAGAGGGGGGGGGGAGGGGTAGGGGGTGCGTAGAATAAATCGTAATATCTCAAAAAGAATATTTAAAGTCACAATTCTTGGGATTCGGAAATACATTTCTTTGATTCCTGCGGTTCTTATGATCCCTGTGATCTCGATTACTGTGATCCTTCACTTGGCATTATCTATGGAGCGCGAGTCTCACTGATGGTAACCCTGACGTTTACAATGGAGCTGATTCGCGCAATTTCTTTCCATTCAAGGCCAAGAGGACAGTAATTACGTTGAAGCAGAATAGAATGAGATAGTGGTGAAAACTAGTCATTAATGGTTGGATCTAAATTATGAAAGCAGAAGATATCGCGCCCTATGGACAACGGCAAGTGCAGATTCATAGGAAGCGCAGATATCGCAGAACCCACAGGGGTTATCTCCAAAACCTTATCTCACAAATGAAAAAATGGAGCAGATAATGGACATAAGACTTTCTTTTTTTCCGCTTGTTTCCCGTTACCCTTCTTCCCCCCCCCCCCCCCACCGCTCTTCCAGTCCCCTTTTCCCATTGCTGTGAATTTTCCCAGTGAGATTACATTGGCGCTTATCGCCGCTGATTCCATGTCTGCGTATCTGCAGCGTAAACACTCGTTTTAGCGCAAACCGACCGCGATTCGCATCGCAATCTGGCACCGATGGTAAGTACATTTGCACCACATCCACTTTTGCAGAAATGGTCTTTGAACTCACAGTGGATGCAGAGAATTGAAAGCAGTTTAAGGAAAGAATTTTTGTGGTTTCTTTTGAGCAGAGATGTTGAGTAATGTGATAATCCAGCAGTTCCAACCGTACTATATAAGGCAAATTATACTTTGCCTATCATCTGGTATCACTCACACTCGTCCACTAGCACTGAATATGCCAAAGTACCGGTGGCAGCCTGGGAAATTTTTTTTTTCGAAAGGGGAGGAGCAAAATTTTTTCATAGGAAGGCGCCTGGCGTCAGCAATATGAAAATTTATTTGGGTTTTCCCCAATTTTCAACCGCAACAATCATCAGAAAAATAGGAAATGCTGTGTCAGGATTTTCAAAAAAATTCCTTTACAAGGCCAAATCATACCGCAACGATTTCAAGATTTCTGACCATTTACAAGTGAAATTTGTGGTTTGCACAATTTCATGTAAGGCGATTTTCAGAAATTTTGCGATCCGAATTCCTCGCCGGTCCTTTGCTGCTGAATACTGATTTTGTGATGACTAAGGGTGGTATTTACGATTGTAAACGGATATAACAGAGTTTACATGCTATAATATTGCCACGACAGACCAATATCTTTGACAACTTTTTTCTTGAATTTCGTTTCCTTCGATTTGATTTCGGCAGAAATTTTCACTGGAAGAAGTGGCAGATTTTATATGAGGTTAACGGCTAACGCTAACGCCCTTCAAGCAAGGAAAGTGATGCCTTTGTAGGTCCTAGAAATTTCCGAAAAATCAAAAGATGTCTTGCAAATATGTCTTGCAAAGATGTCTCAAGTTTCGTTTCTGTTCTAAATTTCGAAAAATTGACCTGTTCTTTGCAAGTGTGAGCAATTAGTTAATTTTTATGACTCATGTAGGACATTCAAATCCCTTCTTCCCTTCATGTCCGTCACGGTAAACTTCCATTTCTTTAACACTTACGACTTGAGACTTGTCAGGTAATTTTGCGTTCCATGATATTCCATGATTAGTTAACTTCCCTTGCGCTGGCAGAAATATACTATATAGGAGACTCAATATACGATTATGTTCAAGACATGCTTTCCAGCAATGAAGCAGACCGTAGGGAGCAGTTATTTTTGGCATCTATTTTAATAACAAAAATATCAGGACCCATTTTTGCGATTCGTAAAACCGGTGTCTGAATGTTCGATGTTGTACGCATTTTCACCTCTGGCGCAGTGCTATGAAAAACTTGTTTATCAGTGGAATCACGCTACCCAATATCAAAAAATGGAAATACCCAAATATCGAAATTGTCCAAAGCAAGAGTATCAGTTTTGTGTTCCCAAGGCAGTTCATTTTGTGCCTAGTGATGGATTATTTTGTGTTCAGTGCAATTGCACCGAACATAACAAATATGAGAGCGAAATCACTCCCAAGATCGAATTGTCAAGATTGTGACAGATTTTTTCTGGATACAAATTGAAAAAAATTCTTATTATTGACGCATTCAACAATCTAATTTACTCATATGAAATTGATTTGATTTTCCGCTTTCTCAAAATAAAATCGCGATATTCGAACAATTTTGATGGTCTTTGAGATATTGACAAACAGAATATTTGTAAAGACTTGTTTAGATTCCTCTAATTTTCTATCAACTATAAATTCTTTCCCTCCCCCTGTTCCGCTAGTCCCCCCCCCCTTCTTTGAAGACGTTTTCTTCGTCTGTTTGCAACTGTGCAAGAAACCTGCATGCCGATAATTAAGGCCTCGGTGCAATTGCACACCATATATCAAATAGCTCCACCATGCAAAGGCAATTTGTTGTACACGAGTGCATAACGTGATGTGTTTTTTTATATTTTAGTAAAGGTTTTTTGGTTTTTTAATCCCAAAATTTTTGTCAGTTTTTTTTTTCAATTTTCGGTTCTTTTGGATTTGATTGCTTCCTTCCCTGTCTAGCTTTGGACGAAAACAAACACATAGATTCCTAGTAAACGCAAAAAATATGGCCCTCACCTCCTCCCCCCCCCCCCTCCCCCTTTCCCTTCACCACTCTAAAAAAAGCGGAATTCGCGGGGAAATTTGCAACTCCAAGGTCTTATCAATAAAATAAATGTCATAATCTGTCTCCGACTGTTCATTGGAAGACAAATGTCCATCTCTTGCTCTGCCTGATCTCGTCTCTGCAAAACTCGTCCGACCGCATTGATTCCTGACAACCAGTCAGCAACAAAGAGCTGGCTGTATGCAAACTTCTTCAGAACTTCTTAGTCTCGCTCATCTGTGGCGACGCGCTATTGCACAAAATTTTGCAAGATTATTTGACAGCTGCCCACTGCAGAAGTAGGATAAGAAAGTGCAAATCCGCTGCATCTGCTGCACGTTTTGCTTTACAGCGAAATAAACATCTTGGATAGCTCTCTTTTGCAGAGATTCTCAAATTTTTACTTTGCGATACAACACCTGCATCCTTTTCTTATGTGGAAATGGACAAAATTTGCAATGGTATCAACATTTTCTTAATTTATTGATAACGTTTACACTCTATTCAGCCAGTAAGGATGGGTGGGCAATGCATGAGTGCTGCGCGGCCATGGCGGTGCTTTGAACTACCTTTTATTGCAAATAAGCTTCTATTCCTGGATAAAGTATATCTCAACCTAATGTAACATTTTCAAACAAACAAACTCTTCAATTGCGACATAATTTGAGAGATTTCAACACGCGCTTCGCACTTGGCAGCGGAGCGGCTATTTTAAGCAAAAATAATTGGTAAAAATTATTGGTAGGTTACCACCTCTCTTTATAGTTTTAGCCTCAAGCTTGTGTTACTTATAACACTAAAGGCTACGAAAAGAATCGTGCACATGACCATATGCGCGTTCAGCGCGTTTACGCGTCGCGTGCAAAATTGATAAAATCGATAATTCCGTGTCCACTGCATAGTTCTGCATATAAATCACTAGCAGCGCTCTCTAGTAAATCAAACTGGTTTCACGTATGCGTCTGCCACAATACCAGAAAATTAAAATTGCTTCTGTTTCTGGAAAGTAACGAGAATATGACATTTTATCGATAATTATTCTAAGTGAACTGTCGGAACCGTAACTTCGATGATCCAAATGTCTCTATAGGGAGAAGTAAACGTGAAAACTAGCTCAATTCGCTTTCGTCTAGCACTCCCCCCCCCCCTCCCCCCCCCCACCGCTCTTTTCACTTCCTCTAAGCACCTTGCTATCGTCAAGGCTGTATTTATCGATAATATCATCGCTTGCGCATATCTCTTCTCTAATTCTTATACAACTGGCCCTTAACCATAGTGTTGTCATATTATACTATACAGCTTCCAAGAAGCGCTAGTCTCGACTGGAAGCTTTTTCAAGATGGGAGATAATAGCGTCCATCATTTAGCTCCCGCTGCAAAAGAAAGGAAAGGCGAAAGCGTGCCAGCCTTAGTGAGGAGTCCATTAAGCATAGCGGATGTAGCACTGAGTGATTTTTTTGCTGCTTGGGTAATTAACTTGAGAAGTGTGGGGAGTGAGGTACAGCTATGTAGTTTTTTGTTGTCTCTCAAATTTATTATATCCCCTGCAAAAGGAAAAAGAAAAGCCCTCCTTATTGACCTGCGACTACATCTGCATTTTAATAAAGTTAGTCAAAAAAATCGTCCTATATCACTTCTATGAGCTTACAAGATAGATGGATACGTGCATATTAATGTTTATCCCATTTTCGCACCATTCGAGGAATGTCTTATTTCATAGTGTAGAAATCCTGACAACTCATAAGCTCAAAAAATTGGTGTACGTGTTTTCTGTAGGGAACCCGAAACTTGCAATTCTTGCATTTTTACGATAATTCAAGTTTTTCTCTCCAAATAAAAGGGTAAGTAACTGGGAAAACACTGTAGTTGTGACCACTACTGCAAGCGTACTGATAAAAGTATGGTAAAGTTACGGTAACAGTGCCACCATAATCATTTGCCCTCAATATTATTATTAAGCTTCATTCTTTGCCATACACAGCGAAATCACAATAATGTGGTGTGAGGTCCCTGCAAGAAAAGTCGAGCGGACCAATGAGCGTTCTCGGGTGCGATACGCTGATTGGTCCCGGAGTACGGTAATAGTACGGCCTTGGTTAGGATGCAGACTTACAAGGAAAGGATACTTGGTGACCGTGGCCTTTTGCAATGAGATGTATACCGTTAGATGCGCCTTGAAACGCTGATTCCAAATCTGTGTTCACTATCTGCTGTGCTACTCCCTGAACGAAAGTATGGACTTTTTTCTATATTGATTTTGCAAGATTTAGGCAGTCAGAATCGTCAGTATCCAGGCTTTTTGGACTCTGATTTATCGGAGACAGTTTTTCTGATCTAAACGTGAAGCTTTACTTTATTTTGACGCTCTTTTGTAGTGCATGAGCGAACATTCTAACGATATTAGTGAATCCTGCATTAAAAACAGTGCAAATTTTTGTGGCAAGAAATGTTCATAACTTCTGTCGAAAAAGCGCACAGCAGATGACGAAAACAGATTTGGAATCAACGCTTCAAGATGCATTTAATGGTATACATTTAATTTCAAAAGGCCACGGTCACCAAGTATCCTTCCCTTGTTAGATCTTTTCTGGTCCGAAAGAATTACATGAGCTGTTGCTGGGCAAGTTTAGTTAGGGTTTTTGAATCACATACATCTATGTGAGTAATTTAGGTACCCGAATATGTCTAAACCCTGGATCCACAAGAGAAGGGTGCCCTCTGTCTGATTAAGTTGCTACCACTGACCTCATCCATTACTGCCGTGTATTCCTTCACTTCCCGAAGGACATCTCTCGTCCATCATAACAGATACAGCTGCGATAAGATTGTCTGTTACCCTGAGGCAGCATAACAGAGTTGTATTGGTCATGTGTTATCTGGCCCTAACATCGGCGCCAACATTTTCTATCAGTCGCCATTGGCATATAGATTGAAGATTATATGGGCGTATAA